TTTTTTTTTTTTGTAAATGAAAAACAATACTCAATATGAGACAGAAAGAAATAATTGCTCTTCATTTATGATATATGATAATACTTTTGTTATCATTTTGAAAATTGAGCATTTTGATATGTCTATTTAGAATAATGAAAAAAAAAATACGATTTATCGACGTATAGAACATTTTAATGGAGATATATATTATTTCAATGGATTTATGAAAATAGTATATTGACAATTCCTATTCAATGATGATGTTTATCGAGAAAAAGAAAATTTGAAATGATTAGAAGTATTAATAATTAAAAATATTGATTTTATTGGTCAACATAAATATTTATTGATACAATGTTATTTTAAGATTCAAATATAAATATGCGCAACACTTAACAAGTACATTCGTCTAAAAACAAGCAAATGAAATCTCAGAACTTTTGCATTATTTAACAGTATGATAAAAAGAAGTATGAAATTAGAATATTGTAGTATTGTTTTTCTTTTTAAAAGATTTCATTAATAAATTATTATAGAATACTTTTTCATTGTTTTTATTTTTCTGTAATCAACCCTATGAAATTACACTAAAGAACTATAGAATTCCAAGCTTATAGTTTAATTTATTTTCAATGATAGTAAGACATTCTACAGATAATGTATACGTTCCTCTATGGCTCTATTTTCGTATAATCACATAGCGGATTAACACATGAAAATGATGTTCTAGTTGATCATACAATTAAACTAGAAAACATGACTTTGTGTAATATATTTATTGTTAAACTTTAGCTGTAGAGAAAATTATCAAAGTATTTTTAATCGAATAACAGTTTGTTGGACAGATACATGTATTGTTTCAAATATCTACTATATCATATATATTATACATTGACTAGAAAGATGCTTATCCTATGATAAATTCATATTATCAATAAGCCAATGTATAACACATTGTAGTTCATTCTATATATTATTACATTGAAAATAACTAGTAGATAATTGACATAGACTAATATAAATAGAACGTAATTGATAGACAATAGTAAGTTCTCTTAACTAAGTCCGATTGTTTAAATAATCACATGTTTCTAAACATTATTAATCCATACATCAATGTAATATACTTGAAAAATTTACGGAAATCAGCTTAATTCTTTTACGAACATGTTTTAGTAACGCTTGGAGAATGCACTGTACATCGAATACTATTTAAAAATAAAATTAATTACATAAGCATTTACACATTGTACATGTCAGATACTATGTCTTTTCTAATGTTACAATTACTCGAAGTAGTTACCTTCGAAATTGTATTACGTATTATTGTCATTTTCGAAAGAACGCAAAATGATTTATAATGATATCAGTTAATTGCTCGTCATTCGTGGATCATTACCTCTGTAGCGATGTATATTGTAATAAGATAAAACTTGGAAATCTAGATTAGTGTCTTGATATCATAGGTAATTTATTGAAGGATTTTCATGAATCAAAATCTTTCTTATCAGTTGTACCTTTCATACTCAACATCTGAGTTCAAAAGAACTATGGACCCGTGATCTTTGAAGTATTACTCCAGCTTAAAGAAGTCTTCTATATACATTATGTACGGCCTCAGACACAATTAATCATTTCGAGTACTTTTATTATTAGTTTTTATGGAATAGTATGGTAATCATCTTTACTTTTTTATTCCATTTTTCCAGTATAGAATATTATATACAAATGAAATCTTTATTTGCTGTTTGTTTTAATTCGAGAGAGAAAAAACTCAGGCGAAACTGAAAGAATCTCTATTAATTTCAGATAATGATTTGAGTATGACTGATATTGTAGCTGATAACGACGAAGTCAATGATGACCAAGAAGATAGACGATTATCTGCTTCAGAAGATCAAACGCCTAGAAGTTTTTGTCTTCAATCTTTTGTAAATCTTTATGGAGATGAACCTCATTTATCAAGATTTGATCATATTAAACATTATGCAAAAAAACACTGTGGATCTGTCACTTTTCTATGTTGTCTCAATATATTTTTGGATAAAATACCACTTCTTTATTGTTTAAAAAAATATAATATTCGTAAAAACTTATTCGGCGATATCATTGCCGGAATTACCGTTGCGATTATGCATATCCCGCAAGGTTAAAAAAAGCAAAAGAAATAATTTATAAAACTATTCTTCTATATTTCGATTATAAATATAGGTATGGCTTATGGTGTTCTTACAACATTACCACCTATTTATGGTAAAAATTAATTGGTTGTTTTTCTGTTTTAAATTAAAATTATTTCCATAGGATTGTATGTATCATTTTTTCCTGTAATTATTTATATGATCTTTGGTACATGTCCACATTTGTCTATCGGTGAGTTTAATTTTATTTCGTAGACAAATATGTATATAAAACGTTCTGTATTTTTAAGGAACATTTGCTGTTATATCACTAATGATTGCACAAGCTATTGAAGGTGTAGTACCATTACCAATGGATATGATTAATAATACTACAATAGTTTCAAATGAATCTAATTCATTATTAAATAATGAAAAAGTTCAAGTAGCTACTACACTTGCTCTTCTTGTCGGTCTTGTTCAAGTAAATTTTATTATTCTGATAAAAATATTTTTGATTCAATTATGTTTTCAATTAGTTACTCTTATCTTTTCTACGACTTGGATTTTTAACTGTATATTTAACTGAACCATTTATTAGTGGTTTTACATCAGGTGCAGCTGTACATGTTTTTACCAGTCAAATTCCATCTTTATTCGGTGTTAAATCTCCATCACGAATTGAAGGAGCATTTAAATTACCCAAATTTTACATAAAATTAATTCGTTTATTATTTTATAAGATTAATTGGATATCAACTGCGATCGGAATTATTTCTATTATTATTTTATTTTTTTCTAAATATTTCAATGAACGTTATAAATCAAAAATTCGTATTGTACTTCCATGTGAATTAATTTTAGTAATCATTGGTACAGTTTTATCCCATTTTGTACGACTCGATTCCAAATATGATATATCAGTTGTAGGAGAAATTAAACGAGGTTTACCTTCACCAGTATTTCCTTCATTGAACAGTATAGATAAATTAATTGTACCAGCTATAACAATAGCTGCTGTTAGTTTATCTATTTCAATATCAATGGCAAAAATGTTTAGTCGAAAACATGGTTATAAAGTTAGTTCGAATCAAGTATGTATAAGAAATAGGGAAGAGAGAAAAAAATATATACATTGTTTTATTAATTGAAAATAGGAATTATTAGCTTATGGAATGGCAAATGTAATTTCATCATTTTTTAAATGTTATCCAAGTGCTGGTTCATTAAGTCGTTCAGTTGTACAAGAAGGTAGTGGAGGAAAAACACTTTTAATTGGTGGCTTTTCTTCGATTGTTTTGGGTTCAGTTATCATAGCATTAACTCCACTTTTTCGATCTTTACCTATGACTTGTCTAGCTGCAATTATTATTGTTAATTTAAAAGGTCTTTTTTATCAAATGAAAGATTTTATATTTTATTTTCATATAAGTGTATTGGAATGTGTAAGTAAAAATAAATAGAATAAAATTCAAAGATTTTTAATATTTCTGTAATAGTTATTATGGACTATAACATTTACTTCTGTTGTTTTATTCGATGTTGATATTGGTTTATATGTTGGAATATGTACATCATTTATTATTAATACAATACGTACTCAAAAGTAAGTAAATGGTCTGTTTTATGAGAAAAAATTCTTTAATAAAATCATTTTTATTGATAGACCTCGATTTGTTACACTTGGTCAAGTAGAACATACAGGAATTTATAAAAATGTTGTTTATTTTCCTTCAGTAAGTTAAAAATTTTATTTATCAATTATCTTATCTATTTCGTTTGTGTGTAGGCGCATCAATATTCCAAAATAAAAGTTCTTCGTTTTGACGAATCACTTTATGCATGTAATGTACCATTCTTTAAAAGAAAATTTTACGAACTTATTGATATTCATCTTGAACATTCACCAATTATATCTTGTCGAGAAGATACTCATAAACATGCCGATAAATTCAATTTTAAATATGTTATTCTTGAGTGTTCAACATTTAATTTTATTGATACAGTTGGAGTTAAATTACTCATCGAAGTATGTGTTCAGAAATATAAATTCATTTGTTATTTTATTTTAATTTAGATATTTAATGATTTAAAACGTCGAGGAATTGTATTATATTTGAGTGAATGTCGATGTAAGTTAAATACATAGTAACGAATAAATGATCATATTTCATTTTTCATCACTAAATATGACTAATAAAAATTTTATTTACAGTGATGAAAAATGATTTACTCGTTATTTATTTCCTTTGAATATATATATAATAGTTAATTTCTTTTCAGTTGAAGTTCGTCATACATTTGATGCAATGAAATTTTATGAAAAAACAGAATTTCATATAATTTATGTGACAACACATGATGCAGTGACGGCAGCTAGAAATCAATTAAATCGTGGTACTTTTCTTTTTGTATATATAGATATTATAAAAAAATTGTTTTTGTTCTATTTAGCATCAACTCCAGATCATACAATTATTTGATCCGTAGAAATTCTAGTACAAATCTTAGTATTCATTGAACAGCCATTTTTTTTTATTTGAATAGTTTGTAGTAATAATGTACGACAGTATATTTAGTGATACAACACTTTTAATTTGTAAATTTTTTGATACAATAAACTAGCGATGAATGATTTTTCATAAAATTTAATAATGAGATTATTTTATGTATCTGATATTCAATTTCTAACAAAATATACAAATAGAATCTCTAAAAATAACCAATGATTTTGCAGGAAAGTTTTTATACTAAATTATTTCATGCTTCATTTCATGCAAATACAAATTTATTTTTCTTTTTGATGAAAACAAAATCAGATATACATATCGTATGTTTTCTCTT